TTTGACTCTGATTTCAAGTATATTGAAGATAGTTATAGCGAAACTGATGAGAATTTCTCGGATTCCTCTGAAGATAATGATGAATCTGAAAATTCAGTTTCTATTGAAAATGTTCGACAGTGGTGCAAAATTGATATTCAAAATATTACATTATGTAGATATTTTCATTAGTATATCTGTTTTACCTTTGTATTTTATAAAATAAATCATAACTTAACCAATATTAATTTTCAAAATTTTCCTTTTACATCATTATTTTTCAATTTCAGTATTCTGACAACCTTTTCCTATGATCTAATTCTGTATTGAAAAAAAAACTCTTTTACAAAAAAAATTTCTATATTTTAGCTCTAAAATATATGTAGATTTGAAATATGTAATAAAAAAATATGCAATTTTTGAACCTATTTTGATTTTTAAAAAAAGTACGCAGTGAGAGGGTTAATAGGACAGACTGAGTACGATTCTCATTTTTTGCAGAGATCTCTGAAGAAATGGTAAAAAGTGTGCCAATTGGAAATGCCATGAAAGATACTAATTCAGAAGTCAAACAACAAAAATCAGCGTTATATTAACAAAATTTTCACTGGACTAGTTTGTAACAGGAAAACTAGTCACAGGAAAAAAAAATTTTGTAAATACAATGCTGATTTTTGTTGTTTGACTTCTGAATTAGTATTTATTCGGCGTGTTATTGTGTCTTAGCCATGAAAGATGTTACCGACATTATAATTGAGCCAGCTGCACTCTCTATACTCTCTATACATCAACAAATTTTCAAAGCCAGGGTGAAATAGTGAATTCCAGGAAATTCTGAAACAACAAAGTAAAGCTTAGGGAGATTTTCATAGGTCCACTTGGGTTCAGCCTTATTGCCTTCAAAAAACCCAAAGCAAATTCAAGAAGAGCGAAGCTTGAAAGTGAGAGTGACTTACGTATATCCTATATCTCTGGAATATCATCCTCTACCTAAACTAAATAAGTGTGGGGAAGAGTTAGGAAAGTGTGTGGTGTATAAAAGCATTCATTTTCCTTTCTGGAAAAAGATGGTCAAGTGACTAGCGCAACAGAAGAAATTGCAATATAGTTGGTGAGATTTTTGCTTACCTTTCTAGTGGCAGCAACTACCTCCTGGTAGTTCACCCATTGTGTTCAACTCTGCCAATTCTGAGCCATATTATTGTATTAACCATATTGAGCTAAATGAAGCTTTGATGCAGACACTTATGTCTAGTCTGAGTTTAGGCATGAAAGAAATCTGTTGTCATTCCCAATAGCTAAGCCGGAGAAAGACCTGAAGAATCCCTCAAACTATTGGCCCATTGCACTTATAAGATGTACTTGCAAACTATTTGGAAAAAGTAGTCTCGCTGTGTTAGAGCAATTTCTTTAAAGAAAGGATGACCACCGACATGGTTCCTTTGGAAACCTCTGTCTTAAAGCTTTCGTTAAAAGAAATCATCTTGTCTCTGTCATCTTTGATGATGAAAAGGCTTACTGTAAAGCATGAAGACAGTATTTTATGTGATCTTCATGCTAATGGCTTGCTCTTATACCTACCGATTTTCATTCAGAAGTTTTTAAGTAAACACTGTCTCTGTGTTTCAGAAGACTTTAAACAAGAAGAGGGTGTGCCTCAGGACTGTCTTCTCAGTGTTGCTATTTTTAGCTTAAGAATGAGCTCTCTTTTAAAGAAAGTTCGTTGTACAGTTTCAAGATGTCAGTAACCTACAGGTAAGTTTTCAAGTTGCAGATATGAGATATGTGGAAAGACAATTGCAGAATGCTCATAATAGTATTCATAAGTGGCCAAATAGGCAGGGCTTTATATTTACAAAAGGGAAGACAATTTGCAAACATTTTTGCAAAAAACGGCATCCACATGCTGAGCCTGAGTTTCACCTTCGAGATTTATGAATTCCATTTGTACCTGAAGTGAAGTTTTTAGGAGTGATGTTCCACCAGAAGTTTATTTTTCTTTCCCATATCTTATATTTGAAGAAGTGTTTCAAAATATTAAATTTTTTCTGTCTTGGTGAATAGTCTTGGGGTGTGGAATGTTGCTCTTTACTTTTCATTTGGAGAGTGCTTGTCCACCCTAGATCACACTGTAGCTCAGCTGCTTATGGTTTTGCATGGTTTTCCATTTTATTGAAACTTCAGCCAGTTCATCGTCAGGCTCTGCAGATTTCTTCTCGAGCCTGCAGGACATCTCCTATCTAGAGCCTATATATGGATTGTTACAAACCATCACTTCAGTTACAGCATGAAAATTGTTTCTTCATCAGTTTTCAGCTTATATTACCACCCAATTAGCCTAATAAGCTCTATAAGAAGCTCTAATAAGCTCTTGACGACTGTTGTATAACTTATTATTTGCAGCACAGCCTCTCTGCGTACTTCCATTCTTTGAAAGAGCTTGGCCTTTGGGAGATAAAAAATAATGCACGTCTAATGTGAAGGCCTAAATAGTGAAGCATTATAAAATACCACCCTGGGATAACCTGTAAATTCAGCTTCTCAATATCTTCCACCATCTTGGTTAGATGAACACCTCTGAAATAATATACAGGCAGGTTTTTATTGAGCACAGGGATGAATACAATGATTTTGCTCTTTTACTCTCACATATACGGATGGTTAAAAACAACTGGCCATGTAGGAGCATCGTTTGTGGTTGGAAATCATACTGAGGGTAAATGACTGCTTACTGCTTGGTCTGTATTTAGTGCTTTCATTCATTTCTAAGCTATGCCAATAAAAACTTGTAATTTATACCAACTCTTTCAGAGGACTAAATGTTTTAGAAAACTTTTTTGGATGCCCAGAATCATCTATTACATTATATTCTAAGAATATACTGACGAGCCAAAACGTTATGATCATCATATATTCCAATAAAATGGTCTGGATGATGTGGAGGGCATGTGATTAAGATGAAACAGTATTTAACTGCAACTGGAGAACTTATTTTTGTGAGTGATGGAAAAGGGCTTCTGATCTAAGCAAATTTGATAGAGGGCAGATGGTAATGTCCTGAAGACTCAGAACGAGTATCTCTGAAGCTGGTAGGTTGTTCACTATCTGCCATTGTTAGTATTTAAACAAAGTGGATAAATGACAGTGAAACTAGCAGTAGATGCCAAGCTATTGCTCGTCCAATTGTCATCAAAGAAAAAGAATGTCAGAAACTGTCCTACTTTTTGCTGCTAAATCGACACCAGACTCAGTGGCTCAACTGACAGTCCAATACAATGGAGGTCCAAGTGGAAGTGTTTTTGAACACACAATTCAGCAGACACTTGGATATGGGACTGTGCAACAGACATCCCACTCATGTGCCTCTGTTGACCCAGCATCATTGTCAATTATGCCTAAATTCGGCTTGGGAACATCGAGATTGGACCACGGATAAGTGGAAGATAGTTGCCTAATCAAACGAATCAGAATTTCTCATTGATAACATTGATGGTTGTATCGGGGTATGCCTCTTTCAGGCAAACAGTTGCTCCCCCCTATACAGCAGGTCATACACAGGCTGGTGGTGGCAATATTATGCTTTGGGGGAATGTTCTCATAGCAGCTGTGGGACCCTTAATTGTAATAGAACAGATCAGGAAAGCCACTATATGAACAAAATTGCGGATCAGTTGCACCCTTTCATGGCATCTGTCTTTCCAAATGGAAATGGAATCTTTCAGGAGGACAACACCCAATGTTGTTAAGATTGAATTACATTGGAGAGGAGCATAAAAATGAATTGCAGTTAATGTCATGGCCATCTAAGTTGCCAGCTCTTAGCCAAGAGCATATTTGGGGTGTTGTGGAGCAGCAGCTCATAGCTCAAACAGCATCATGTCAGAATATCTCAACTTGGCTTGACAGCTGCTTAGACATTTGGTACAACTTTTCTCCAGTCATCTACCAAGAACTTGTGACATGTATGCCAAGGCAAGTTGCTGCTCTTTTGCAGGCCAAAGGTCATACAAGGCATTATTGAGTAGGTGGTCATAATGTTGTGGCTCTACAGTGTATATCAAAATATATAGATCCATGTGTTTCAGCTTGTTTGGTGTTGAGTTCCTGGACATGTTAACATAAAAAGTAATGAGTTAGCAAACGCAACAGCAAAATCTGCAGTTATTTTGTCAAATCGGCTTATCCCCTACAGTAGCATTAGAATGGTCATCAGGCAGATAATCCTAAATAAATAGTAATTATTCTGGAATTTTCATCTTCTGAATAAGTTGTGAATTGCCAAATCCAAATTGGAATGCTGGGATGACATAGAAACTGGAAGGAAGACGTCTAGCTATCCCACCTTAGAATTGACCAATCTCGAGTCACACACAGTCCTTTTGAAGGCCGAAAGTGAGCCTTTATGTTCAATTGTAATAAGGTTTTGTCCAGGTGTCTCTTTGTAATTGAATATCCGTATTTTCACATATTTCAATTGAAGCATTTTAGCTTCGACAGTATAATTGGGAAAGAGGCCAATACCAGGTTATTTTAAAGATGAAGAACAGGTATGAAAGAGATCTTTATTGTTCAATTTGATTTTGTTTTGAAGTTGTTTCTTGGTGTTTTAATACTATGTATTTTAATGCATCTTTTTTTTATTTTATTTTATTTATTTATTTATTTTTTAAATTTTAGCCTTCTTTTCCAACTTAAATCATTATTTGTTTTATGTAATTGTTCATCTGAACAGTCATCATTATATTACATAACTTTTTTTTTAAATGTGTGCTTTTGTTTTAAACTTGCATTTGACTCTAACTTTGGTGTATATCTTATTTGTATTTGAAAGTATATAATATGTTTGGTGCATATAACCTTTCAAGTATTACGCCAGAGAATCTACTACAACCACCAAGAGCATAATGTTAAGATTTTATGGAAAAACCTATACTTTATAGCATTACTTTCAAACAAATTAATTTATATTTATGGAACTTGAATAAAAATTTTATTTGCAATTTTTTCTTGTATTCTTCTAGATTGGCCAGAAGCCTGTAATGGATACTAATGCTAAATCCACTTCTGCCACTAGTGGACGAGTGATTACCATTCGAACTAACCGTAGAATGATCACAATCACTCAACCATGTCGCCAAAGTATTCTCCGTCCTGCTGAGATAGTTATTCCATCATATGATCAGAAAGTTAAAGACCTTGATAGTGGAAGTTTTGAAAATGAATATTCTGTACGTATATTATGAAAATATGCAGTACTTGTCTTTTGTTATAAATTTACATGAAACATGCTTTAATGTGAAACAGATTTTTAGTTTCAGTTTCTTATTTTAGACTGAATGTTAATATTTCATGCAGAAGTTTTATGTTCACTTGATTTAATTGTTCTGTCATACATTATTTTATTTATCTATTTAAAAGAGCTACTGACTTCTTAAATTAATGTAACCATGCTTGGAATATTATTATTTTCCAAAGCCAGGTATGAAAACAAAAATTAGTAGTCTTTTTAATCTTTAGAAATACAGTCAAAAGTCGTTAATTCGGACACCCATAATCCGGACCTCAAAGCTAAAATCTTTCTGCACATGCGCCGCGTTGACGCATGCGCATAGGCATTTTACACGTGCGCGCAAGATATTTACGACTGCGCATATGGGTCTCGCGCAAGCGCAGAATACATTTTCGCGTACGCGTTTAATGTATAACGGGCGGTAAAAGCTAAATTTATCTAATTGTCTATTTCAGTTAATGTTGATGATTGCGTTGTTCCTTAATCTTCAAATTGGATCCGGCTTATTATTTTTTGCAGACTGTAAGAGCAATTTTATAAAAGTAAACTTGAACTTTCGATTATGTCAAATAGAATTTCCGATGCTGGAGCTCCCAAAGGATCTAGAAAACGAAAGTATGCTTCAATGTCCATCAAACAAAAAACGAATTACTACAAAAAATGGATAAAGGCATATCCTTTGTTTATCTAATCGTTCCGAAATCTGTTTATCAATTTTGTTGGAAAATATAGCTTATTTTTAAACCTTTTAATGCATCATCTCTCCTCCTTGAAATGTTTATTTAGTTTAGTCCTTATTTTAATATAATATAGTAGTTACTTCTACTTCTTTTCTTGCTGCCACTGTTTGCATTGAAAACGGACTGTTTCAATCTAATTGAGATGCAAAAACGAAACATGATTTACGTCATCTGAAAAGCCGATTCGTGCCGATAGCTGATTGGTTGCCGTGAGATGACGTCATTCCTACTTCTGCTATAAGTATCTTGCGTCGCTCTGGCTCAGCCCTTCTAGTTCCTGGTTTCCCGGCTGGTGAGTGAGCAGTTTCCAGCCCCTTCCAAAGGATGCCTGCAGTCCGGTGAAAAAATGCCTTGATTCCGGTTTGCGAGATGATGGTTCCAGATTGAAGTTCTTCGGTTCCGGGGGCTATCCTGTGAGTGACTGCCGTGGGCGGCATCCATGTTTCTTCAATGAGGGCAGAATTAAAAATACGTGAGCGGCGACGACTCCTTGTGCAAACGGAGTTAGGCCGGTTTTAAGTGTTTTCACATTTAAATTTTTCAGGTGTTTTCTTGACCATTGACATTTATTTTATGTGTTTTTATTTTTTATTATATTGTTAATAACTTGGTTAAGTTCAAAATCTTTTATTGTTTTCAATGTCTGCACAACATAACTCAGGGAGCTTTCATTGCTACCACTGCTAAATGTTTAATTTCTTTAAACTTTAAACTTTGCTTTAGCATCAAATTTCACACTGCTGTGCGCCGGAGGGGGACGTCGCGCGCACAATGAACTGGAAGTTGATCTGTCAGCACTATCGTTATCTTCAGGGCAGATGTTTTTATTTTTTTCGGCTTATAATTCCTTACTAAATGTAGTATTTAATCTCGATTTACTCCGTCTCTGATATGATTTAAATCAAATTCCTCATCATTATAAATATCACGAATACATATCAAATAGTTTTCTGGTTGCAATTTTCTAATTTCGGCTATGCGTAATGTATGCTTTACGCATGCGCACGTTGAAAGAAATATTTAATAAAGTAAAGAAATAAATATTAAGCTTCTTTTTTTGTAAATTTTGATACCCTTTTGATCATAATTGCTCATTATTTTATAAATTACGTTTTCATATTTTTAATTTTATAATTTCTGCATGCCATCTTACCAGATTTAAACTGATGATCTATAATCCGGAAAAATCGATAATCCGGAATCGCCGAAGTCCCGACGAGTCCGGATTAAAGACTTTTGACTGTATATTGTTTTTGCTTTATCTTTTTTCGTGGAAAAATTGTCCATTTTCTGTTTCCTTGCATTTTATTCAAAATTTATGTTTACTTTTCTTAATATTTTTAAATTTTAGAGCAGATTATGAAGTTTGCGAAATGCAGTTTTTCTGAATTGAATGAGATTCATTCATGTAGATGAATATTTATGTAACATATTTGTTTATTTAAATAAAATTCTGTAAAGCATTTGAGATGCAATAAAAAGGCTGTGGAAGGCAAATATATTAAATAAAAGCACTTCATTTATAAAATTAGTAAAACAGGCATAAAATATTTAGCTACAAGTGTGCCGTATTTATTTTTGCTGGTGTTTCTGACTAGTTTGTGATACTGGTTATGTTATAAAACTGACTTAAAAAATTTCTTGACTGGAAAATCTTCTTACTGAACGTTTATTCTGCATGATATATATATATATATACTACAAAAAGAAACATAGTAATAGGCTAAAAAATGTTTGTTCTACGAATTCTTATTTTAATTTTGATTTGATTAGATTTTAAGTTAAACCTCTTATATGCAGATTCAGTTATTAATATTGTTGAGGAATTGCTCTAATTTAATTGATTCTAATTTAATATTAACTTTAGATACTTTAAGTTTGTATACACATATATATAATGTGTGATTTTTATAATGATTTTTATAATGTCCCCCTCCTAGCATCTGAAGTGCATCAAAATTTCTCGGCAATGCGACTGCCTCACAGTTTGTATACACATATATATAATGTGTAAAATATAAAATTTGATACTAAATCATTAACAAAAGTATTAATAGTTGGAAATTAGACCTTTAAATTTCCTTTTTAGATTTTTATAATGTCCCCCTCCTAGCATCTGAAGTGCATCAAAATTTCTCGGCAATGCGACTGCCTCACAGCCAATCAAAATTCGGATTGAAATAATATATCCGGAACATATAAATATCTGAACTATTCTACGTTACTTTTTTTGGCCCTTGCTTTGCCTTGCTAACGGCAACCTGTGTGTTCTCATGGCTTCGCTTTGTCCATTGTTCTGAAAATGTACTCCATTATGTAAGCACCTAAAATGATAAATGAACATGTTTTTGCTTAGCAAGAGTGGCCACAAATAAATAAATGTATTGTTTTTATCAAGTCTGTCTATGTTACATCATCTTGTGAATCTATTTAATAAAGCCTTTCCAAGTAATTATCAATAACATCATTAACAGCTGTCTTCTGATTTTCAATTAATCTGCAGAAATATTACATATACATATATATATTTATATATACATTGCTGGCCACCCAAATTGCAACACCAAGAAAGACGAGAGATATCACAACAAAATTTATTTAGTAGATAACATGTTGACCAAGTATCAAATGATTAAATTTATAAACTTCTGTTAAGTGTGGTTCCTTCCAAAATCAGTAGCCGCCATTGTTGGAGATCACAGCTGCCACATGCCTCAGCATTGATTCAGAGACTTTGGATGTGTTCTTGGGGTACAGCAGACCAAGCAGCTTCCACACCTTGCCAAAGTTGATCTGGTGTACAGCTTGGGATGTAATTTGGGTCAATCGTTCAGCAACCATGGACCACATGTTTTCTATCACCGAAAGATCCAGAGAGTGAGATGCCAGGGAAACAATTCAGTCTGGCAATTGATGAAGAACCCTTGGACAATGCGTGCCACGTATGATCGCACATTATCCTGCTAAAATATGGCTATGGGCAAGCCCTGAAGATAAGGAAGGACACCTGGCTCCAACACCTCGGAGATGTGGCGGTGGTTGTTTAAAGTACCGGCAATGTGTACTAGAGGAGTGCAAGAGTGATATCCAATACCGCCCCATACCATAATACTTGGTGCAGGACCAATGTGGCGGTGCATAACGCAGCTGTTCAGCATCCTCTCTCCACGGTGTCCCCAGACTCGAATCAGACCATCGTGGTGTTGCAGACAGAAGCATGACTCGTCAGTAAAGACAATTTCATGCCATTCTGCCATCCACATCCTTCTTTCATCTCACCATTGGCAGCAGAGACATCTGTGGTTCTGCTTCAAGGGTAGACGAAGCAATGGACATCTTGCGGACTGACCACTCTGCTGTAAACGGCATCGAATGGTACGTGCAGACACTGGATGATAGGTCACAGTTTGAATGTGCTGTGCTATGGTTCGTGATGTGACTGAGCGATCCATCACTGCCATGCGCACAATGTTCCTGTCATCACGTGAAGTGGTGCCCTGATTTGGATGCAATCGAACACGTCAATGCGTCGTACCCTCCTGCATCCAACAGTCACATATCCGCATTGCAGTTGTTTGATTTCATCCAACACGACTATCGATTTCCCTGAAAGATAATCCAAACTCTCGTTAGGCCACTATCCTTCCTCTGTCAAACTTGGATACTTGATCAAACGATGTTCACTGTTTACTACAAGGCATAATTGATCTTTTTTTTTTTTTTTTTTTTTTTTTTTGTTTTTGTTTTTGAAAAAACCACAAAAAAACACAATTGCCAAACTTGAAATCGTAGAAAACTCCAAGCCTTTAATAGTGCTTTGAAGTGGGCCAGAGGCATGCGTGATGTGCGTCTGCGCTGAAATTCTAATCGTTTGCATATCTCACCTCCACTAATGCATGGCGTCAATTTCATGTTATTTGCATGCTTCCTTCAGAGTGTTGCATTTACAGTGGCCGGCAGTGTATATGTGAAAAACATCATACAATGATTGGATTATATCCCTAAAAAAATAGTTTTTAGTTTTGTACAGAATAACGGTTAGGTATACTTGCTACTGTGTAAAATAGCTTTTGTTTTTTTATTTTATGTAAAGCTTGTAACAATTTTAGCAGACCCCCCCTTTTATAATACAAATGGAATTTAAGAGTAATTACTTTGAAGTTATTAGTTGCCATTTTATCTCAATTGTGTTTGTTTTCCCTTACAGGTTCTGAAGCTAATCAATCATAAAGGCAGTGCTGCAAGTCTCATGAATGATATTCCTGATCTGTCTAAATTAGACAAACCTCCTTATGGTCCATTTGCTTTGCATACAGCATTAAAAGTAATAGCCATAATTCTTATCTCCTAATTAATTTCATAATGAACTGCATGCAGTTATATTTTTTAATAAAAACAGAGTATACCTAAATGGTAAATTATTACATATGTATCTGAAACAAAACAAACTGTTTTAATTTTTCTTATCCAAATTGGAGTTGTTAGGAAATTATCTGTTTTGCTGTGTGGTGTACAGTTCTTTACAAGTCAATAAATAACTTAAATTTTTATGTTAGTTATGCTCATAATGTAAACTTTTGATAGAAATCATAGCATTGTTAAAATTATGCGTATTTTGCTTTTTTTATATCATAATAATGACCAACCTCAAAGGCAAAGCTTCTTCAGATGTGAAAAAAGAGTAACTTCCTGCTTATTCAAAAGCTGATAGATTACGCAAATTCCCAAATGATTAATCATGAATCAGATTACTCTGTTTGTCCTGTAACTTTTCCTTTTACAAATAGTGTGTCTCACATTGAATTTTTTAAAACTAATTTTTATAAATAATGCAGAAGCATGAAGTAGACAGTATTATAATACTTTTTTTTTTCCACTGTGGTGACGATATTTTTCACTTCCTCATCAGAAGAGAATCTTTTTCTCTGCAATTATCGTTTAGCAGTCAGGATACCAGGAAACCGACTGGAGCAGTGTCCAGGTTATATCTAAATTATTTTAGTGCTGTCTCGTCAAATTCAAAATAGTGCTGTGAGTGTCACAGCAACAACAAAGCCAAACATTGTGCCCAGTGCAAAATCATCCTTTCTTAAGTAAATCTGGTAGTTGTCCTTCATGAGTTCATGCAATTACGTTTTTCAGGAAGCTTGCATAATAATCACTGTGAACTGATAGCTGAGGATTGGCAGTGTTGACAGTTAATCACAGTGGATACCTGCCAGAAACACTCGCCTGTTATTATTTTTGAAGTGCCTCTATCATTGAAATACTAAAGCATGGCTAAGTGTTTTATACTAGATGCAAGACATTACACCTCAAGCACTTTTACTGTTCTTCCTAAGCTTAACATAGAATTCTACAATATTTTTAGTGAGATATCGTTATGACCTTTGACTACAAAACAAACTGCTTGTACTCATTTGTGAAAAAATATTAAAAACAATGATTGCAAAACTGCATATTCATATGTATGACCGTGGCAATATCAAAAACAGGATTGTGACTTTTAATACCAGAAAAGACATATAAAGGCCGTCTGAAATTCTTTCAAGCAGAGCTTCTATATTGGCATGTTAAAACAACACCAGTGATGTAAACATAAAAATTAGTTCAATTTGATTCAGGCTTAAGTTTGAATAGTAATAATGTAAGAATAACATGAAGAATATGAAAGATAACAATGTCTAGATTTACTGGATAAGCTGTAGCAATTAAAAGCATTATCCACTCAAAATCTCAAACGTTTTCTTACATGCCTTATTTGCATATTATCATTTTAATGTTATATAAAGTTAAGATTGTTTCAGCTTTTGCCTTTTATTGAAAATAGCTATTTCCAATTCCATATGTATGGCAGGAGGTATATCAGTAAGTTTAATGCAATGATGAAAAGTTTTCAAATCTTTTTAAAAATCAAATCATCTTTGTGATCATTATCAAGCAAAATTTAACTGGCACTTTCTAAAAATTCTTTCTTTTCCTCAGTTCCTGATATCACTTCTTTATTATATACAGTCCAAAAGCCGGAATTGTCGGGACTTTGGCGATTCTGGATTTGGGATTTTTCTGTATATTAGATCATCAGTTTAAATATAGTAAGATGACATAGAAATTATAAGATTAAAAATATGAAATCGTGATTTATAAAATAATGAAGTATTAAAAATCTAAAGGGTATCAAAATTTACAAAAAAAAAAAAAAAAAAAAAGCTTAATATTTATTTGTTTACCTTATTAAACTCTTTCAGTGCAAGTTGTTTAAGTTGCTTCATTTTTGTGCTAATACTGTCTCTTTAATTCTGTAGACAGACATAATCTCTTGTTTAGATTCATTTTTGAAGTCCTGTAACTGCTGTGTCCAGAATTCCGACTAGCATGTCAATCGAAATTTTTTCGTTTTCAATAAATTCTCTATCACTTTCTTCACTATCTGTAGCGGTATTTTCTGGATGTAGAACATTACTACAGATTTTGCCATTCATTAATTGATTGATTATTGGGAAGCATTGTCATCACAATGAAAAACTTCTTTTATATCATCTTCATTTATTACTGCTTCTCCACATTTCTTTACAAAATCCGTTAATTGGAAAATTTCACCTTTGTTTGCAATATCCGAAAACCTTTAAAATTTGTCGCTATCATCATCAAATTTAGCTATCTTTCCCTATACATATTTGGTTATGCATAATGAGCTTGGCGACTAATGAAAAGTTGTTCCGTTAAATTTAATCTTGCTTCTATCACGTATTGAAACAATTAAACCTGAATTGTATTAGTTATTTATTATACTTATGCCTATTTCTTGCACATGCTTAAGGCTTATCAGAGTTCTGAGTAAATAAATTTCCACATATTCTTAAGCCTTATTGAGGACTGGCGCTATACCCACCACACCGGTGTGGGTGTTAAATTCTGTGACTCGGTGCGGCCATACGAGCCCTGGTGCTGGTTCTGGGTTTATTTTAATAACAAATCAGTTATTGTTAATTCAAATAGCCCTAAATATAATCTTTGGGTCTATGAGTATCATCAACAAAACTTATTTTTAACATATGAAAAGAAATTTTTTGTTAAATTTTTCCTCGTCAACATTTTTTTCGCATTTAACTTACATCTGTAATCATTGGCAAGATTAATGTCAATATAAGAGGTTTCCTTACTCCTTTATTACTCAATTACTAACGCAAAATTTCTTAGGCATTGCTACATGAATCATTACTCAAGTTGTCATGTGTTGATAAATATGCAGTGATGAAAGGAAAGTATAATAAATAATGATTCACCAGTTTGGCATCAGATCAACGATGTATCTATGTGGAATGTTTCGGTTTGAGATGTGTGCCAAACAGATAAACAGCAATGGAGAGAAATTACCAATCATACAAATTTTTGCTGAAATGATTGTTTCTTCAATAACAAGGTATTTTATTTAGTGTCGAAGTGAAATTAACAATCGGGACTCACCAGATGTTTTATTATGCACAGAGGGGGGGAATCAAATGTGCATGCCTACAAGAAAAGCATTGGTGGTGGTTTTGAGGTCTCGATTTTAGATTATTCCGGATGTTGGACGTCCAAATTTCAGACTTTGTTCTGTAGTTACTTCTTTACTGTTCAAACAATTCTTCAATTTTATTTTCTGAAGGGTACCTTCCAAAAATTTTTTTAATGATTGTCAGTGCAAGTTTAATTGGTGTCTTACCATGATGAATAGAGCATGTGAATGGCATAATATGTAGACATTTGCAAATAGGTGCTAATTTTCATCTGTAAAGGAACAATAATGCTCTGAATCATAGTAATCATATAATAAACTCTTAATAAATAATTCTAATATCTGGCAAGTGAAGCTTATTTATGCAGTTAGAAGTTAAAAACAAAATATTTTTACTGTTTAACATCAAGAAGTCTGGAAGGCAGAGAAGAATTGTATTGGGTTATGGCAAAGGATATGAGTATGAGGGATGTTTGCCTGGGGAAAGGGGTGTTTGTATGGAGGATGTGTTAACTGACAGTAGCTCATATTCATGTTTACGTACAGGAAAACTCGCATGCAGCCAGGTCATTTACCAGGATTTCAGTCTGAGTGAAACTTCTTATGTCCAGGAGTCTTGCCATTTGACTCCTGATGCCATTATCTTAATGTGTCATTTTTCTCGTTTCATTTTCTTTAGATTTTCTGCAGGAATATCAAAAAAATTTTTAATTATCTAGGTTATTCCTGTTATCTTATCCCTGTTAGAAATAATCTTTATTTTATTTTTATGATGTTGTATCTGCCAAAGCAATGCTATAAATATACACTCTGTGTTCCTTAATATTCATGTGTAGCTCTTTTTTGTTTTTTGCTGAATGGCATCAGTTAGTTAGTCAAGTAAATGAACACGTAACATACATTTGTGGTTTGCTTATTTCTTTCTACTATATTTCAAAATATATTTGCCATTTACCGTAATTTCCGGAAGAAACGCCGCGGTATTTACGTGTTTAAAACTTAAATTTTCAGCGGGTGCAACGTTTCTACCCATGCGGCGTTTAGGTGCACTAAAATTAAAATATTTCCTATGATGGTCATTGTACATAGTTTTGATGGCCTTGTCATTGTGCATAGATTGGTGCTGTTCCCACACAAAAGACCACTCAGTTGCTTTTTTGCGAACGTTATTTTGTTTACGTTCTTTCCCTTGAACGGACCTACATGCCTTATTCACCCTAAACGAGATCTCAGAACAATAACATTCTTCCCCCTTTCAAATCAACATTCTCATCAGTTTGAATAGTCTCTCTCCTCTGCCATTCGATGAATCTTCCGGGACCCAGCCTCTTTCCACACCTGCCTTTTCTGTAATTTTTTTCAAAGGCGGACACGACTCCACCTGCCTCGCAATAACGAACTCTGACGTATTTCCCCTTCAGCATGAATGGATTTTTCTTGGCATTCTGCCAAATACAGATCCCATCAGTTAGAGTACAAGTACTTGTTGGATAGTTTTTAATTAGGGAGCGGAAAATTTTTGAAAATGTCTCTAAACGGCACAGAAGCTATACATTTCTAACCTTTAATTTATTTTTGAGTTATGGTTTCATTTCATGCATTCTTCTTAACTGGTATGTCATATATCAGGACTTAGGTTGAGTTTTTGCATCTATACGGCCCACGACGATGTCACGCGCAATTTAATCTATTGCGGCATTTACGCTGATGCGGTGTTTCTGTGTAATTTTAATTTTTTTCCCGCCATTTTTCTCGAGTGCGGCGTTTATGCTGATGCGGCCTTTCTTCCGGAAATTACGGTAAATAATTTCTATCACGTTATCAGG